AATCATATAGGAAGGAAATGTTAAAGTTTAAAACAAAAGTGAAAAGAGGGCATGAGTGTTACTATGAAATCAGAATCAGCTGAACGCACAGCTAATGAACAAAGTGAACAAACCTCAAATGGCTTCCTGGTCTCCACCAGGCAAAATGGCCTCGGTGTGATGAGCTAATCCTGGGCAGGGGCAGAGGGCCACTACGCCTGGGGAAAACGCGTGATTCCTGTCATAGTTTACAGAATTAAAATTTAAACAACAATAAGTCAGGATCTTGAATTAATAAGATAGAGTAAATTAATAAAAATTTCCGTCTACCTTTTAATCATGTTGGGGGCATGGGGTTGGGGGAGAAAAGATACACGACCACGTGGCTCTTCTGCAACCTGGTGAAATCATTCTGAAAAGAAATTTGGCAACAAATGTAAGAGCCATAAAAATTATCATGTACTTTGACCCAAAAGCCCAACATTCTGGAATATAGCCCAAGGATGTAATTCAAAAGAAATAAAAAACCTATTTGTATAAAGATGTTTATAGCTGTACTATATATTACAGACAAAAAAAAAAAACGGGAAACAGTCCAGATGCCCAACAGTGAAGGAACACTTAGGCAGGCTTTGGTATATTAATGCAATGGAATATTTTATTGCTATTAAGAATGACAAATATGAGAACTATGTAGAAATATGGAAAGGGCAATATAAAACAATGAGTAAAATATGCAGAACTCACAATGATGCATATACAATGATAACAGCTATGTAAAATTATATCTGTATAACCAGGAGGATTGGGAAAGACTGCAGAGCTGGTAATTTAGAGCGCTGACATTTTTTATACTGTTGCTTAAATTGCTGGGAATGTTTATGTGTTTCAAGTTATATTTCACTGTGTATTTAGTACACAGCCATTAAAAAAGATAAATCTTCATTTTCTTCTTATAAAAGAAGAATAAAAGAACAGAAGTGTTCCTCAGTACCATCTCTGGCCTAAGTGATTTTTTTCTAGTGTCTTGATTCCTGTTAGTTCTTAGGTGTGAGGAAGTCGACCCCACCCCTTGCCACTACATCTGTCACCAAGGGTGGAGTTCAAGCTTCATGTAGACAGCAAATCAGCAGTAGGTACTGATGTTTGCACCCTGGCCACAAACAGGCGTGCCCTCTCTATGCCCTATGCACAGGGTGAAAGCATCTCCTCAGTATTATTTTAAATCTCTGACACAGGGTGTTTTTTTATTCTTACCATCTATTACCCAATCAAACTGCCCCTGAACTTAATGAAGACTCATTCCTCTGGATTCCATTTCTTCTAAGCTTTAAAGGACTTTGCACTTTGGCAATATTCTTTTGCTCTTTTATCACTGAGTTCTTTACTGCTGGATGAGCTTCATCTCCCATATTAAGGGGGGAAATGTCACCCCTGGCTCCATGTCTCCTCTCATATTTCTACTCTTCTACATAGAACAAACTCTTTGAATAAAGAGTGAGAAGTTAGATACAAAAATGTGGGCAGCTCAGGAGAGTTTGTTCTATCAGACTTCAAACAAATGTATGTGATTTCTGTTATCACACCACTGAATTGTTTCTCCAGGTCAACATCCTTCACGTTGCTAAACCCAAAGGGACTTTTGTCCTGCTATATGACCTCTTGGTCTCCTAGCAATACTCCCTCCTTATGGAAACTCTTTTCTTGGTTCCCGTGATAGCTCACGCTCTCCCTTTTCTCTCACCTCTGGGGCCATTCTTTTTTCCTCACATCTCTAAACGTGGAGTTCCTTTGGACTCTCTCATTCTGTCTCTTTTCTTTTTATGTTTTCTCCAATTGGTCTCCCTTCTTCCAGGAACCGTAAATCCCATTTCCATTCTAATGACCACCAAAATGACTCTCTCTAGCAGAGACCTTGATCCAGTGAATAATAATATACTGGACATCTCCATTTAGACTCATGTATAATAAACATACAATGAAAACTAACATCATGATATTCTTCCCAGAATCAGTTATTTCCCCAGACATCCTTCTCAGCACCATGCACCTCGTTACTTACACTTTCCTATGCCCCATCACCGTACGCATATCCAGTATATCACTGAGTTTATGGATTTTTACCCAGAGCAACGCGGTCCATTGCCATGGCCCTTGCCCGGATCCCCATCACAGCTTCTCTGTATTACAGCAATACCCTTCTTGCTGATTTCCCTGCTTCCTCTCCAATCCATTTAACATCAAGTGGATAAAGCATATTGCAAGGAAGCAAAAGTCTGCCATCCCCAAATATTTCTTCTTTGGTTGATTCCATGGGACAGGCTCTGAAGGCTAGGTGGAGGCTGCTTTTGAAAAAGGCATTGACAGTGGATCTCAAAAAGGGAATCTCCCAGGAAGACCAAATCTTCTCTCTTTTAGAAGGAAAGGCAGAACTTAATATGCATACCTTGGTTTAGTGCCTTTCTTCTTAAATTCTGTAACTTACCTTCCCTTTCCTGCACTCTACCCCCTTATCTTAGACAAGTTACTTAAGGTGTCTGAAGTCATGTGATAAGTTAGTCAGTTTTACTGGGTGTCTCCTCTGTAGACCAGAGGTATACATGTTATTACTAAGCTTCTATTTTTCTCCTTCATTTTTTCTTGTACCAATCTATCTAATACTTGCTTGATTATTTGCTACCCTAGAAGAACCCAGAGGGGTCCGCGATGATTTCCTTTGCAGCCCAACAATACTTACTTACAAAGCAAATCAAATTATTTCCTGCCTCAGTTTAAAAAGATTCAATACCTGTCTCACTACAGTTAGAAGAAATTCTACGCCCATAAACTACATCTATAAACCCCTATAAAGTATGATCACTAATTATTTATCTAGATATTCCTTTCACCTTGGTCCTCTTTTTAGCCTCAGGATGCTTGCATGTTATTTTCTTTGTGCAAAACTACTGACACTCTCACTTTTCACTCTATCTAGCTATACTTACTCAGCATTTTGTTATACACTCACTATTTCTTCCTCTCTGTGTGACTTCATGAGGGACCCTTCCAAGATGTCACAGTTACTCATAACACCACATACTTCTCTTTGGGATTGCTTTTGTCTTAATATCAGTAGACTAATGTCTATTTCTCCCCTATCATATTATATATTCTATGCGGGTAATGAAAGTATCTGTTTCTGTTTATTATTATATTATATTCCCAGCTCCTAACAGCTGTTGCTCAAAAAGCATTTGCATAATGAAAGACTGATCAATGTAGGGTCATGCTACTCAGAGAACATCGTGGGTCTCATGAGACGATATTAATCACATCATGAAAGTAAATGAAATCATTATACACATGTGACTATTATTCTGTAATTATAACATGTAAAATAAAACTCTCCATCACCATTTCACACACACACATACATACAGTAATTCAAAGTTAAGTAATTTCAAAATATACAAAGGGGAGCTTATTGCTACATTTGTAGGTGGGGCCTACATCATTGTTCTGTAAGAAAAAGATGTAGTTATTCCTGACAGAGAAAGGAAGAAAAGAGAAGGGTAGGGAAAGCCCAGAAGCAGAAGTAAGGGCTTGGAGACATTTTATAAATTAAAGTGCCTCAAATTAAATTTTAAGTTGTTAATGTTATCACGGTGTTAATCTCCCGCCTTCCCAAACCTTCAGTAATGTCTGCTATGTTCACTAGTTTAGATTAAGAATAAGCCACTACCTGGACCCTCCTTGATGGTGCACTAAGAAGCTAAAGCCACTTCAGCTGAGTTCAATCCCTGCCCCGGAGGTGACCCAAACAGCGCGGCAGACCAATCCTGACTCACCCGCTGCTCCCCTCAGCAGTGTACTTCCTCAGTCTGTCTGTTCTGCTCCCCACTCTGTCTCTGGTAAAGCCTCTCGCCGCCCCTGCAGCTCTGGCCTATACCCCAGTTCTGTATGCATAAATAAATAAATCTTTAAAAAATAAATAAATAAAAGGAAGAAGCCACTACAAAGGGAAGAGGGAGTCACACAGCCATCAAGATAAGGAGACACGCAGGAGGTTGGTCAATGGGTTCTCATTTCTAGGATGTATCTGTTTACACTTGTATTGCATTTACCTAAACTCACTTGGTATCTGTACTTCACTAGAAAATATCTTACTCATCTTCAAAGGAACTCATCAATTGCAGGAGTAACCATACCTACCAGAGTATGACACAAGACTGCATAAAAAATCCTTGGAGTAATCAGGGGTCCAGACAAGCTCCTGACTCTCCCAGCTGCACTGTTCCCACGATTCCTGCTCCAGTTACATCCCCACCTTAGTCTTGGATTCTACACACATCTTCAGCCTTCTTCATGCCGCTCCCTCAGACATAACCTACATGACTGGACCCACCAGGCAAAATTATCCCCCCATTCAATCTGACCTGGTGAATCTAAGTCAGAGACCACTTAACAGTGTATTATCTACAATCAGTGCTTAAACAAAAACCTTAGTAGATTCAGTCAAAAATAAAGAAATCAGGTGACAGCAATTCTCAGGATACCTGGTAATAATACTTTAGGCTAAACTATACTTTAATCTACAAAGTATTTGTAGTGTGTAGTAACTTTTTAGCCCAGTTTCACTGGCCAGGATTTTGTCAAGCTCCACTTTCTTTAAGAGATCACAAAAAAAAAAAAAGAAGAAGAAGAACAGCTAATATTCTGCCTTTATAAAACACATAAAATGGTCCCATGCAATACCGTAATGTTAAATGTGCTTTTTCCAAGCACATATTCCTTCCACCCCATGCTGGAGACTATGCAATGCCCCGCCAACCCCATCACATGGTGGTGACTGTGGACAGTCTGCAGAAACAAGAAGTGTTTCCACTGTTTGATGGAAAACCCCTGATTTACTTGGAGAAACCACTACAGAAAAAGTCTCTCCATCTTTCTTACGTCTGGAAACAACCAGGAAAATACAAATGACATTAACTTATTACATTTAGAAGACAATGCCATAAGAACAGCTCAATAATCTGACCTACCCATCTAGGAGGGCGATGACATTCTTCCTGGGCCGCCCAATATTAGGGCCATACAAGCTGGCTCTGGAGTAAATCCGCAGGGGCTGCAACAGGCGCTTCAGCTGGATGTAATCCTGTCCCAGCTGGCTGCCGTTCACTGCCCGGCCGTGCACCGTCCGATAGTTATTTGGCTCTAGGTTAGAAGCAGACATGCAAGTCAGAGTTGAAAGGGGGTGGGGGGCTTTGCCAACCCTTCCTCTCCACAGATCACTCTGCCTTGTTCTTAATGTGAATATCATAACCAAACCGAGGGTGTGAGCTCGCTGACCTTGAGGACCCACCTGAACAAAAAGTCAAGTGCCATCTTACTGTTCTATTAATTATAAAAATAATCTTCACAAAAGGGTGCCTAATTCACGACACAGAGGCCACATTGATTTTCAGGTGATACTCTGCAGAGTTTGGTATATAGGGTGTAATCATGTCCCCCCAATTCTCACCTACTCAGAACCTCAGAATATGACCTTATTTAGAAATAGAGTTTTTGAAGATACAGTCAGCTAAGATGCAGTCACAGGGGGCTGTGGGGTGTCCCAAATTAAAATTACAAGAAAGGTGAGGGAAATTCAGATACACAGACACAAGGAAGAAGGTCACGTGTCAAAGGAAGCAGAGGCTGGAGGGATGCGGTTATGTCAAGGATTGCTAGCTACCACCATAAACACGGACTTGGGGTAGATTCACCCTTGGTCTACAGAAATCAACTGTGCTGACGCTCTGATTTTGGACTGCTGCTTCCTGAACTGAGAAAATAATTTTCTGTTGTTTTATTCTGCTGAGTTTGTGATTTGGTATTAGGACCAGGAAGTGAATAAAAATGAGAAAAATTAAAAATTCATAAAGAGGGTCATTGTACCAAAAAGCAAGAAGAAACTTGATGTTCAATAATAGCAAAGTGGCTGAGTAAAATAATCTTTAGTAGAGCTCTCTACCCAGTTTCTATCAACTTTGTAGTTCTAAAGAAGAAAGGAAAGTCCTGAAAACCTAGGGGGGGGGCTAACTTGATTTTAATTGAAGCACGTGCCCCAGGAAAGGTTAACACCATGGTTAGTTTGAAGCTGTGGTACTGGCAGAGCAAGTAATAGCCTGACATGTTGGGGAAAAAAAGTGAACAGAAAGATTTGGGTCTTAAGACAGCTACCGTGGGCATATTGTAAACTCACACTTAGCTCTCACAGCCTAAGAGGCTGGGCATGCTCAGGGAGAGCTGAGCAGGCACCAGCTAACCACACACTCCCAGGTAAATGTGAAACCTACCACATTCATAAAGAAGAAGGCATGTAGGAAAGTAAAACCAAATCAGACTTGTATACTACCTGAATTTTGAATGCATCCCCCAACTTACACACAGATCCACTCATAGAGGATATAAGTCCCTTCCTCAAAGTAAACACAGCCCTGGTCATTGCCTAATACTAAGTTATGTTTGCTCAGGGCCATCCTGCGACAGGCCTAAAAAATTAAAGACGGAAAAATCTTTAATCTTAGGAGAAAGGTGAGCAGCTACATGTTGCAAGGGAAACTAACTTACAGGATACAGGAAAGACTAAATAAGCAAATAAGAAACAACAACAACAACCTCTGGGATAAAGGATTCATAATCCAGAGTTGTTCTAACATACTATGTGAGATGTGTAGTTTGCGACAACAAAATTAAGGCATGCAAAGAAATAGAAAAAAATAAGAGCATGATCCATAAATGTGAGGGGAGGAGCAATAAATAGAAACTGTCTTTTAGGGCCCCCAAACAATGGATTTATCAGCTAAGGACCTCAAGACTGCTATTACATATATTGTCATAGTACTAAAAGGAAGAATAAAAAGTAAAAGAATGTATGATGCTATTGACTAATCAAAAAGGAATATAAATAGATAGCTAGAAGTTATAAAAATATTAAGTAGAAATCGTACAGCAGAAATGACTCTTCATGTAATACAGGGGAACACAACGAGGTTTACAGCTGAATTCTTACCAGAAACAACAGAAGCCAGAAGACAGTGGAATGATTCAAAATGTTAAGAGTAAAAGACAAAACGTTAACTGAGAATTCTATATGCAGCAGATTAGTCTTCAAAGCTGACAGCAAAAGGTAGACTGCCCAGAAAAACAGAGGATGAAATTTGTTGTGAGAAAATCTGACTTAAGAGATAATAAGATCAGGAAGTCTTTAGGAGAAAGGAAATGATGTTTCCAGCAAGTCGGGGAAGAGGGAACTTCCCAGCTCATCTTTTGAGGCAACTATTCCTGATACCACAGCCAGACAAGAGCACAAGGAAAGAAAATCACAAATAGTCCCCATAAATATGAATCTGAAACTTGCCCCCCAAATATTTACCAATTAAATCTACCAGTATTTTGAAAGTATTATACAGCATCACAAGTAGCAATTATACCAGGAATATATGATTGATTTAATATCAAAACCCAACTAATGTAAGATAACATAGGTAGAATAAAAGACCAAAGCCACATTATCATCTCACCAGATGTATATAAAAGCTTCTGACAAAATCTAAGCTCCATTACTGATAAATACTCTGAACAACTACAGATAGGAAGGATCTTCCTCTTGCTGAACATATCTAAGAAAACACTACATGTTTAATAGTGAGAGACTTTCCTAAGACTGGGAACTAGAGAAGAAAATGTGTTTTTGCCACAACTCCAGGATGTATGAAATGTTGTAGTCAGTGGAACCAAGACAGAAAAAAGAAGTAAAAAGTATCTAAATTAAAAAGGAAGAAGTAAAATTGTCATTATTCTCAGACAATATATGCTCTATACAGAATCTGAAGAATTCACACATGGGAAAAATACAAGATCTAAAAACCATGATCAGCAATATTGGAGGATTAAAAAAAGACACATATAAAATCAATTATATTTCTAATAAAAGCAATGCACAATACAAAACTGAAATTAAGAAAGGACATCCACTCACAGTTACAACAAAAAAATAAAAGTTTTAAGAAATTTAAAAATTGAGCAAAAGAAGTAGAAAACATGCACTGAAAATTACAAAGCATTGCTGAGAGGAATTTAAATTTCAATATGTAAGGAGAAATCTATGCTCATGGGTCGGAAGAGTCAATACTGTTGTGGTGGCAGTTATCTTTACACTTATCGATACATTCAAGGCTATATCATCTAGCAAACTTTTCTGAAGACATAACAAGCTGATCCTAAAATTTACATAGACATACAAGCATCCAGCATAGCCAGAACAGTTCTGAAAGAACACATCTGGAAGTTACAATTTGCAATCTTAAAACTCATTAGGCTATTTGTAATTAAGGTCATGTGGCCACAACGGAAGTGCAGATATAAAGACCAGTAATACAGAATTAAGAGCCCAGAAGCACATACATATATTTATGGTCAACTGATTCGTTATATGAGTATCAGGACAGGAATGAGGGAAAGAATAACAGTTAAGAAGGAATTCTACCAGGACAACTGGAGATCCAGGCACACTCAAAAATAAAGTCCCAATCAATCTATACTCAAATGTGAGAGCAAAAGCTATAAACCTTTTAGAAGAAAATAAACAAAGCTCATTCTGTGTTCTTGAGTTAAGCAAAGATATGACACTAAAAGCACAATCCATAACATTTAAAAATTACAAATTGAACTTTATCAAAAGCCAAAACATCTGCACTTTAATAGATGCCAGTAAGAAAATGCAAGGATAAGCTAAAGACTGGGAGAAAATCCAGTTTTTATCATGTTTAATAAAGAACATGTATTGATAATATAATCAAAATTCTTGCACCTCAATAATAAGATAACACAAACAAAAAGGCAAAGATTTGAGTGGACATTTCACCAAACATTTAAGAACAGCTAATAAACAGATTAAAGAACGCTCAGTATCAATAGTTATTAGGCAGGTACAGATTAAAGCCACATTAAAATAATACTTTGAATCCACTTAAATGGCTATAATTAAAAATGGCATGCAAAAGGGAGTCAAAACCCACACACTGGATCACTAGGGAGCAATAAAAAGGAATGAATGACTTCTACATGCTACTACAACATAAATAAGCCCCAAAACATATGAAAGAAGTCATATGCAAAAGGTACAGACATAGGAGCTGTCCCTAACAGGACCAGCCTAGAGAGACCGGCAGCAGAGAGTGTTCCCTGGGGCTGGAAGTGACTCTAGCGCTGCCTGCAACAGGCACAAGGGGTGTTTTGGGAGTGAGGCAAATCCTCTAAAACTGATATGTGGAGATGGTTGTGCAAGAATGTAAATTTACTAAGAGTCATTATACTGAAGAAAAAAAAAAAAACGGAACAAGGAAGGGAGGCTAGAAGGGTACCCCCATTCCTTGTCAGAGAAGTAGTAAGTTCAAGCGGAATACATCAGTTTGAATTACTGAAGGGGAAAATTTTGAGAGAATAATAATAAACTGTTTTTTTTTAAAAGATTTATTTATTCATACAGAACTGGGGTACAGGCCAGAGTTGCAGAGGGTGAGAGGATTCACCAGAGACGGAGTAGGGAGCAGAACAGGCAGATCATGGAAGTACACTGCTGAGGGGAGCAGCGGGCGGGTCAGGAGAGGTCTGCCACGCCATGTGGATCTCCTCCGGGACAGGCGGGGATCGAACTCATGCGGAAGTTGCTTTAGCTTCTCAGTGCTGTGCTTTAACCCGCTGCGCCACCAGGGAGGGCCCAATAGTAAACTGTTTTAAGGCCTATTTATTATCTACCTCCTCTCTGTAGACAGCATATTTACCTGTTAGGTACTGTGCATGTCTTGAAGGTGGTACAGTACATCTGGCACCTACTAGTCAGTCAATACCTATTTTATTGGTGCATGAAAGCGGAATGAAGAAAGCCAAGAAGTTTGAACAGATTTAGCACTTGCTTCCGCCATTAGCTTTCCCCTTCACCTCCCTGAATAGTCTGTTACCTTTATAATATTTACTTTCTTTACCTGTATACTACTTTGAATTTCTAATAGAATTTGAAAGTGCCTGTCAACTAAATACTACTCAACTACAGAATGACAATATTACTGATAATTGCAAACATAAACCTCTTAAGGAAGAAACTTCAAGTCTTCCAGTAGCAGGGCATACTATGTGTTTAAAAATAAACATAATATTCCACGTTGTATGTTCACTCTCTGTCACAGTGTGTTCTACCAAGGGGAACAGTAATGGGTGGAGACATTTCAATGTCTCTTCCTTTCTACCCCCAGCACTGAGCATAATATTTTGCACAGCAGGTGTTTAAAACATTCACGTTAAATGCAGGAATAAGAGTAGGTATGTGGATGGGAGAGTGTGGAGAAAGAGTCAAGAGGATGAAGGTGAATACAATGAGAAGCAGACAGGAAGAAGGGAAGGAGAAAAGTGAGCAGACAAAGACGCTATAAGTAGTTCTCTTCCTCTTCCTCCTTTCTACTCCCATCTGTCTAATTCCCTATCCATCAAAATGTTATCCTCTAAAAAAAAACAGTTCTCTGAGCTTCATAAACAGTTGCCAGTAGTGTTTCTACCCTGTGTTTGGCCTTCGCAGGCTGTAGCTGTTAGATATTACAGAAATATACACTTACGTTATTGTATAAATGGCTATATATAAACACACCATATATTTATCCATACAAACACAGCCTAAAAGCTTAATAAATGTTGTGCAAATGAATGAATAAATATAACTGGCCTATCAGAATCTCTAAAGGGGTAACCTTTATAAAGTGAGAAATTTCATTTTGCTAATTCACTCAGTAGACATTAGATTCCAAGAAACTGAGTCATATAACTAAAATCATAAGAGAATGTGGATGAATGCTTAGGTCAGACATAGGGATGAATATATGAAACTGATTCAGGAATGAATTACAGTAACTATAATTTGCTCACAGAGTGGGAAGATTTAGGAAGCACTCTGATAAATTATAATATTGTCATCAATTAGAGATGTTGCATTATCGCTAGATAATGTAATATTGTAGAGCCCTTGAGAAAACAAATATGTTTCCCTGGAGCAGAGCCGGACTCTTTCCAGGGTTTTAGTACCAACTTCAAAATCCCCCCAGTTCTTCCTTACCTTAGATCCACTAATGGTTAATACAAATGGAAATAATTAGAATCACCACCTGACATGAACCATTTACAGAACTTAACAATTCATGGATATTTGAAGGAAATGTTTTATATCCATAGAACATGATTGTTAAAAATCTGTTTTCAAGTAAGTCATTCTTTAATATACACTGACACCCTAAACTTTCTTAATATCTACCTCTTGATACTGGCTATATCTTGCTTTTGTAGTAGCCCAGACTATTCACTGATGGCAAAGGAAGAAAAAAGTAGGTAAGTCACTTGGAGTTTAGCTACTCTAGGAGAAACAACCAAAAAAAGCCTACTTTGATTTGTCCAGTGTGAGGTTGCTCTAGAGATAAGATGCTTGCTAATCGGAGGAGGGAGGAGGGGCCGGTGGGAGGGCGGATGATAAGAGGACTGAGCAGTGCTACTGAGCCCTCTGAGATCTGAATGCTAGATCAAAACTCTGTCCAAAAAGATAAGGTTACAAAAAGGAATGTGAAAAGAGGGCTAGAGAGACAAGTCTAGACCAGGAAGATGACTGCAGATAAATTTTCAGGGGAAGGGTCTGACTATGAACAAGACAGTGATACCCAGAATATGTTGACATCTTAAGGGCTATGATTCTAGAACGGGGGGAGGGGGGGGAAGGGGAGGGGATCAGTGGTTGGAAAATGAATGAGAAAAAATAAAAGATACACTGAGTTGGGCAGATTATTAAAGTCCTATAAAATAGAAGTGTAATTTTTAAGAAGGGGAGATATGGAAGGAATGGCAGTGGTCCACTTGATGTGAATTTTGCTGGTGGGACAATGTAGTATAAACATACATCAAGGTGCAAAGCCATATTGCCAGAACTTACATAATATTGTAAACCAGTGGTGAGTCCATACAAACTGTATTTGAAAAATGACAAACTGCTATTTCTGACTAGAGACTCAAAGATGACCAGTACTTATTTTGGCAGAAAAACAAAAACATGACAAGATATTTTCCACTTTTATTAAAGTTTTTAACTCATAGATTTGATTATTTTCCTAATTATCTCCATTTTCTTATCTGTGATTGTGCCTTTTCTCCTTATCACAATGATTCTTTATGGTTGTTAAGCCCTACAGAAAACTGATGGTGAAAATCAAGTATTATGTGGCAAGGGTGATAAATAACATTCTTTTAGTGTAATGAGTTATAGCTTCAAAGTATTTAGCATAGTTAGGTGGAGGAAGGCGGATGGGGAGGGGCAGGAATAGATAGGTATATACAGAGAGATGCATATACACTCTAACCCCCACGCCCAATCCAGCTAAGCCGATTCAAGATTTATTTAACCTTGATAAGGTTACAAAAAGCTGCCACATTGAGCATGCCAAAAACCCTGGAGGATTTATTTCTATCAGTCACTTGTACATAAACTGTAAATGCTTTGGGCTTATCTATAACTAAAAGAGTTTTTTTTTTTTTTTTTTTTTGCAAATCAATTTTCCTGAGACAGCTCATGTTAAAAGGAAAATCAGCAAATAGCTCTGAGGTGGGACATGCATCCTCCAGTTCCAGAGGCCAATCCACTCCTTGCTCTCTCCGCTTTAATTAAACATTACACCTCACTGGGTCCTCGTGGATAATAGGCCCAGTTTAGGGACTGCACTGTCTGAAGGATGTCTTGCTTGCACAGGGCGTGGGGACAGGAAGAGATGCGACTAGAGCTGACAGGGCGGTCCGGGGCTTAGGAAGACTTGAGAAGATGGCAGCTGGTACTGGAGCAGAGTGGGGCTGCGTGGCGTAGTTACGAGCAAGCAACCTAAACAGAAAAGGCTGAGCACATGAGAGAGAACGTGAGCAGAAGGGTACAGGGCAGGACTTCGCCTACGAGGAATAACTGTGCCCAGTTCAAAGCTATCAACTCACTCTTGCTTTTGTCAGGGACTTTATGACACCCGAAGTGATGGGGGAGCTGAAAAACCTCAGGACCCCCCAGTTCTTCCTCTGACAGACAAAGCCTCTGCAAAGCCTTAGCTCAGCCAGTGGGCCTCCACTTGAGAATAACTCTCCCCCACCCCAGGGGGGAGATGGTATGGAGTCACTAAGTCTATTGACTGTGCTACTGGTTATTTACAGTTCAGTGTACAAGAGGTGGTTTGACTGAGACTATATCCTCAACCAACTTATGTTTACCCTCTATCTTGTCAATTAAGAGGAAATAACATCCTTACTTACCATTACCCAATTCCCAAGAAATGTTGTACTTTTTGCTGGCACTGTACTTCAACAGACTCAGGGCACTAGAACTGTTCCAGGAGTTATTGGGATTGCGACGCAGCGCATTTAGAGCGAATATCAGGTGGAGTCCAGAGCAATCAGCAAAGTTATAAAGTTTGTCTAGAGACCTGGCTGGGAAGAAGCAGAGAAAGGCTTGTAACTTTCAAATCAATATCCAAAAATATTAGCTACTACAAAAAAGTCCTTTCTATGAACTTCCCACTAATACGGATTGTGAGGCTTTTTAAAGCGACTATTCCTTCTTGGGTTGGGTACATTTCAAGGTGATTTTAGAAAGTAGCTCATGCAATTCCAGGTAGAGGCTGAAAAGTGGCAACGAGGGCTATTTCATAGTATGTTTCATTTGTTAACAAAAAAAATTGAATTTATAATATTTAACATGGGTAGATATTTTTAAAAACCTCTGAATTTCTGATACTTTTAGGGTCTATATTCCTGAATGACTTGTCTCTAAAAACAGTCAGGAGACAAGGTCAAGAAAAATAAAGGGCTGATGACTCTTGAAAAGTAGCTCAGCCTAGCAGCACTTCCAAAATAATCATAATAATAATCACTCAACCCTGATAGTTATATTTCTGAGAATTACCAACTTCCGAGAATGGAAATATCATAATCATTAGTGGAAATACATTCAATTGCAGGTTCATCCCACATACTATCAACTCTATTTACTGGGTATCGTGTGCCCAATCAATTCCTTGATTTTATTGTCACAAGTCTTAGCTAGGTTCTCATTTCTCCTTGCATGAATTATCATAGCAGCCTGCCTATTTTCATATTCTCCCCATCCTATCAGATTTCTCTCTCCCCAATCACTTAAATCAATTTCACTCATCCCTCAAAACCTCATTGGATCTTCAAGACCTTTTTCTTCCTGAGTTTCAAGAGCTCTGATACTCAAGAATAATTTTCTCCCCCACCTTCAGGCTCCTGATCGTTCTCAATGACTCTTTTGTTACTGCCAGTGAGTTCTATGCATTCGATTGGTCCTTGCTCTAATTCTTCTTTTCATCTGGTATGGTCTTTCCCTCTTCTAAATATATTCAGCTCTTACTTGTCCCTCTAGGCAGTGTTTCCCAAAGTATGTGGTATACAGATTGAAAGAAATTTTTAGATTAATAATTAGATAGAGGGCTCATATCCAAATTGTTCATAGTATCAATGACAGCTTATAATTTATTCAGTACACAATGAAATATACCTATCTTCCTAATTTTTAGTTTTATTTATAAACAAAAATCCTCTTTAAGCTTTTACATTAAAATTTAATATGACGACTGATCATATTCCTGTTAGGTGGTCTTTTTTTTGAAATAATGATCTCCATATAGTGAGAGTGTCTTGTGTTTGTTTCATGTATATTAGAAAAGCAAATGCATATAAAACAAGAAAAGAAAAAGAAATCTGTGATTTCATGGAAGTGAAGCTTTAAAATGAGGCAAAAGATAGTTACCAAAATATAAGTGTCAATGTGGAGAAATAACATTAGAGATGGTTTGATGACATGATAAAAATTGAGAACTGAAACATTTTATCATGGAGAAGTTAAATCCTTGCTCCCCTTGAAGCCATTCCTGAACACACCTATGTTCTGACAGGTGGCTCAACTTTCTCAAACTGAGAATCTTGACCAGTTAGTGTCTGAGTGCCCCATGACAGTCTTAACTTGGAACTGACTTGGTAATTCACCTCGTTGGAGAAATGATTTTTTTTTCCAGTTAAAATGTTAAGTTCCTTAAGGTTGGTAGGCTATCTCATATGCACACAACATCTATCAGAGAGCAATTTCCTAACTTAAAATCATTTGAAGAAATTCTATTTGTTGCATAGAAGTGATCTAATAAGAAACGGAAAGATTTCAGAGAGCTTTGCCTAGTAATTATAATTGCTAGTGGAAGAGATTCATTCTTTGCTGTATTAGAAAATTACATGTATTTGAATATAGAGCATTAAGTAGATGCTCCATAAATGTAATCTTCTTTGGAACATGTCAGTCTCTAAGCAAGTGCATCCTTAAAGATGACTTTCTACTCTCTCCACCAGAGGGCGCCACCCCTCTGCATCCTCAGGTCAGCTCACTTTGGCATCTCTTTCAAACACAACTCATAGGAACCTGTCTGGCAAACAACTGAAGATGAGCTGGGGCTTGACAGAAGAAAGAATAGGCTTGGGAGTCACCTACATAGGCAGACAGTTGAGGCTGTGAATGTTCTTGACACTTTTGAAGGACAAAATAAGTGAGGAAGAAATCTTAAGGTAAGTCTACATAGAGAGGTCAAAAAGAAGCAGGGGAAAGGGCAGAAAGGAAGACTATCCAGAAATGTAGTCTGGAGGAACCTAAAAAAGAGTTTCAAGGAAGTCCTGGTCAACAACAGTAGGTATTGATGAGGAACTGAGAAGATAATGGCTTGAGGGAAAAAACTAGGGTTATCAAGCACTGAGGTTAAAAACTCAATTCAGGGTGGTGCTATGAACTTAAAGAATGACTTGTAGACAAAAAGAATAGACTGTGGTACACCTAACTTGCTTGCAGAAGTTCTATAGCAATCAAAGGAATAAAAGAAACAAAAGTGCAATCAGAAAAGCACCAGAGAATGTGCTAATGAGAAGTTTAAAGAAAATCGAGATCTGAGAGAAAATCTTGGTTTTTTTCAAAAAGCCAAGTTTTACATTGAAAACACTCAATGAATACACACTAATATATGAATGACAGTGATTTTCCTTAGTTTCCTTGGACTTGGTACTTTAAAAATAAAAGACAACAATGCAATCAACAATAAAACTAAGACATCAATCTAAGCAAAGGGATTGCTTTCTTACTCCCTCCCCAGAATTAGCTTCTACTGCTCTCATTCTGTTCTGCTCTCTCTCGGGAGATAAATTCTCATTTATTTCTCCCAAAGTGATGGCTTTTCTACCTCCTGTCCCCAATTCTTTGTCAGGTACTATTGGCATTATTGCCGACTGCGAAACAAGTCATAAAGCTCAAAAACTTTCCAAACTGGCCACCACCTCTAAGTTCCTCTTCTAAAAACTTTGTGGACACATATGTATGTCATCTGGGTGACCAACTCAAAATTTTGGTTTCCCCAGAATCTAGCATGATAAGGCAAGCTTCTTCATGACTCAATACCCAAGAGCTACTCCAATATTAGGCAAACCCTAAATAGGCCCTTTTCAGTTACATGACCCTACCATATTTTGGGTGAGGAGGGGCAGCTGGCCCCAGGGGACTGACACCAAATTCTGTAGTTCGCTCAGGTATGTAAGTCAGTGCTTTATATTTTCTTGATCTCCTGGATAATAATCTGTTCATAGTCTCTGTGGCACAGTTAGAATAAGCTTGACACTGCTGTACTCAGCACCAATTTCCCCTTTTGGAGTCACAAACTGGCCTCCAACAGCCATGGGTAAGGATCGTGTTCAGATCCTTAGCCTCACAGAGAACTGTACCTTCACGTGAGAGTTTCAAAAGAACAAGCAGACATAAAGCGCACATTTTAGTCTCTCTCTTCTTTAATTAATTAAAGAATGAATAGAATTAGATGGAGTCCTTAAAAAAAACTGTGTTTTCTGTGTGATACTTGCTTACACTTGGACAAAGAGATTCTCAAACACTAACCACTCTCATGAAATTTGGGCCATATCAGAACTCCCCATTATCCCATGCAAAACATCCCACATTATTCTAGGTTTCCTTGTTAGTCTAAACTTTTTCTTTAACCTCTGCCTGGAATATCCTTCCTTTTCTTCATTCTCCGTAGTCTAGGTCAGGGCCTCCTCTGTGAGTTCCTCTCTCACTCCTCTAAGATGGAGGCACTGAGGCTCTGCTCTGGTCCCCCTGCTGTTTATTGGCTACTTGAGAGCAATAAACAGCCATGCTTGTCATTGTTCAGGTCTGCCTCTCTCTCTCAGGCAGACAGAAACAAAAAGGTACCATGTCTGCTTCATCATTTCAGTGTCTGATACACAATAAGACAAAATAAATGTCAGACTCCTCGGGAGTTATTTGGCGCAATCAACGCCTGCATCCCAAACACCCAACCTTAATTCTCATTCATTGTAGCCGATTCCCTCTAAATTGTGCTTATTACTCCACACTGTTGGATGCACTCAGACACTCCTTGCTTTAAGTGCTCAGTTTGGAGTAATAAGGAGGAGACAAAGGTGACTATCTAAGAGAGGCTGTAAGAATACAGGACTTTCTAGTGGAAGTCAGAGGGAAAAAATGTGAGAACTCTGAACCAAGTCAGTCTCTGTACTTCAAGAGAGACGATCCGTTAATGTGGAACCATTTGAGTCAGTGACTACAACCAATCATATCAGGACCATTTTAAGTGTAGCTATTAAAAGAGAACAGTTTGAAAATTGCCTAGAAGGAAAACAGCTATTTCTGAAAGAGCCAAGATATCTTTGAGCTGAGAGCTGGTTTTACTATGAAGAGAAGTAGCTCCAGTTAAGTCTGGGCAATGAAACCTTCAGTAGATTCTAAAGATATCAGCCCATAATTTGACTGAAGTTGTGAAAGGAAAACAAGATTTGGGAAATATCTGTGAATAAAACTCACAGAAGACTCGGCTTGAGTCTAATTGTTGCATTAATCAATTTAACTAGATAAAAGGGAAAGTGCATGCCCGTAAATACAGTGCAACCTGATTCCATCCTTGTAAATGGTGACAGAGAGGAAAAAAGAGACACTGACATTGGTAAAAAAGTTAAGATTACTTTTAAGAAATATGCCTGATTTTGAAGGATACAAATAGCATTCCTAGAGGATAGTCTGGAAATATCTATCAAAATCTTAAATGTATTTTCCCTTAGAACAAGTAATCTCACTGCTAGACATTCTTCCTGCATGTGTAATTACAAAAAGTTTCTAAAATAATTGATAATTGGGGTTATTTTAAAAGTTAACAACTAAAAACAATCCAAATGCCTATAAAATTGGGGACTGTATTCATAATGGAAAATACAGACTTCAGAAAATGAAACTTAGTAAGGATAAAATTATGATCCATATGTTAAATTATAAAGAGTATACATTACAAAATGATTCCAAATAAGAAAAGCGGAGAAGGTTATAATAAACCCTATGGGGTTGGCTTAGAATT